AGGTAGGTGGAGTTGATAGTGGGGAGGATGTTTCGCCTACAGGGGAACAGAGAAGGAAGAGCTGTTGCATCTTCTTCCAGCCATCCAGCTCCCCTTTACAGTCCATGAGATCAGACAGGACAATGCTCCCCCCACTATTTACTTGCTGAAGTTGAACTTGCGGTACCAAATGTTGTTCTTCACCAGAAGGGTGAAGTTCTCAGCTGCTTGTAGGAATGCTGGCCTATAAAACAAGAGGAAGGGTAAATAAGTACAACATACTTTCACAAACAGTGTCCTTGCTGCTCATCTCTTCAGTTTTTCCCAACAGCACCTCAAGGGAGAAGCATCAGCTGCATACCACCAGCCTCATCCCAGGAGGGCCACCACGGAGCAGGGAGACAGAGCACTCACTTGGGTATGTGACTGTCATCCTCCACAGGGCACCATGCAAGGACTTCACAGGTCTTAATGCTGCTGTTGTATGAAACACACTCCCCAGTCTGGATGCCTGGAAAGACATGTGCATGGAGGTACTACTAATCAAAACCAGAGGCAGTTTTTGTCCCATGATATCTCCTCCTCTATATGGTGAAAACTATTTTCTCAGGGCAAAGTGCCACTACCAAGACCCCCATTATCTTCCAGTGCACTTTGTAGTGAAATTTCAGAGAAAGGAGCATCAGGTCTTTTTCCTGAGCCAAATCCTCATCTATGTGAAATACTGCTTCAGGGACTCAAGGCCTTGAAAAAGCCCTCACACTGTTTGCTAACCCACAAAGCCCACATCTACCCAGAATCAACCCAACACAGTCCATCTGCTCTCCCCAAGCAGAAAAATTTGAGCTTCCCTTTCAGTTCTCCTATGTGTGAGCTAAGGAGAACAAGCAGACTGTTCCTGTGAAGGAAGCAATGCAACTTCCTTCACAGCAGGGAAGGCACAGCACAAAGGTATCACAACACAGACTGAAAGACCATTGCAGCAGGTTTCTTACCATTGCTGTGGGTGCTGACATATCCTGGAAAACAGCTGTTGTTCTTCACCTGGCACTCCGTTTTATCATCTGGCAGCTGGAGAGGAACAATAATTTCACTAAGCTCTGTGAACCCTCTCCCCCACACTTCCACCCACACCAGGCAGGATCAAAGCAGATCCTGCACCTACCTCTGGGCAGCGGCCTTGGCTCTGGTTCAGCGTCAGTATCACGTTGGTCATGACAAACACAGTGTTCTCACCCTGAACAAGCAAAACAAGAAGGCAACCTAAGAGAGACAGACTGCAAAGAGCATCCAAGGCACCACACCAAATACCTTTGCTGACAGAGCCCAGGTGGCTCCACAGAGGGGACCTGCTTTGGACAGTGCTGGCGCAGCAATAAAGGAGCAGATTCTCATATGAATTGCTTGATGTTGCTGTGTTTAGCCAGAGGAAGGACTGTGGGACTAGAAACTCTTTCTGTCCTCCCACTCAGACCAAATTTCTTCATTCCCATTATGAAAACAGAGATCACACAGCTCCTCAGGGGAGCTGCAAGGCAGGAGCAGAAATAGAGCTCCAGCTCTCTTTCTTTTTGCACTATATCAAATAGAAATTTGACCAGTCCTGGTTTGTTTCTTCAGGGAGCACCATTTTTGTTACTTTACTTTCACTACTTTCAGGTCTGTATGATTCCAGATCTGTTGTTTGCTTCTGCTCCACTGATATGCAAATATGAACACTCAGCCAAAATCTGGCTAAATCTGTCTTTTTTTCTGCATCACATGTCATGCAGACAGAGGGACCCACAATGAGCAGCTTGGCTGTGGCTGCCCATCCCAAAGGCCACCACACATGGCCCACAGAGTGCAGATTGCCACAGACACAGTCAATCAGTAACTACAGCAGAGCTTCCTGTTCAGTTCCGGATCAAGTGACTTGCAGGCTATTCCTGGTGTGTCTGCCAACAAGCTAATTTGGGTCCGTTTGCTTTAGAGCAGTAAGACAGAGGACATGTGGTTATTGTTGCAACTTCTTCCTGAAGCCTGCCAAGTTCTTCATCCTCTGTGGGGACCGGCACTGTTTAACAGCTTTGTGGGCAACGTGGACAGTGGGATCGATGCACGGCCAGCAAGTTTGCTGAAAACACCGAGCTGTGTGGTGCAGTCACACACTGGAGGGAAGGGATGGCATTCAGAGGGACCTGGACAGGCTGGAGAGCTTGGCCTGTGTGAACCTCATGAAGTTCAACAAGGCCAAGTGCAAGGTATTGGATGAGGGTCAGGGCAACCCCAAGCACAAATACAGGCTGGGTGGGGAACGGATCAAGACCAGCCCTGAGGAGGCGGCCTTGGGGGTGTTGGTGGACAAGAAGCTCAACATGACCCACTATGCACACTCACAGCCCAGAAATCCAACCCTATTCTGGGCTCATCCCAAGCAGGGTGACCAGCAGGTCGAGGGGAAGATTCTGCTCTTCTACTTCTCTCTTGTGAGACCCCACCTGCACTGCTGATTCCACCTCTGGGGCCACCAGAGCTGGACCTGTTGGAGTGAGTCCAGAAGAGGCCATGAAGATGCTCCATGGGCTGGAGTAACTCTGCTATGGAGATAGACTGAGAGAATTGGGGTTGTTCAGCCTGGAGAAGATAAGGCTCCAGGGAGACCTTAGAGCCCCTTCCAGTACTTAAAGGGGGCTTATAAAAAGGAGGGAGAGGGACTTTTTACATGGGCAGGTAGTGCCAGGACAACGGGGAACAGTTTTAAACTAAAAGGGAAGAGATTTCAAAGAAATTCTTCCCTGTGAGGCTGGTGAGGCCCTGGCACAGGCTGCCCAGAGAAGCTGTGGCTGCCCCATCCCTGGAAGTATTCAGGGCCAGGCTGGACAGGGCTTGAAGCAACCCGGGATAGTGGAAGGTGTCCCTGCCTATGGCAGGGGGTTGGAACTAAATTTTCTTTAGGGTCTCTTCCAACCCAAACCCTTCTGTGATTCTACACAAGCACACACATAGATACACTTTTCTCGAAACAAACTTCCCCAGGGCTCATGGTGCAGGTGCTCAGCATGATCTGTAACAAAGCAAAGCTGCTTTATTCTCTCATATCAAGGCCATGCTGGAGCTGAAGCTGCTCTGCCCTCAGTGGACTTTAGCAAAGCAGTAGCTGATTGCTAGAAAACCCTCCCTCTCCATGGGAAAGCGACTGATACCTGAGGAGGGATGACATAGTCGGCTACATCCCAGATCCTGGCTCCCAAGGTGGATGTGTTTGTCAGGGTCACTCCTTTCACCTTCGTGGTTACAGAACTGACCACGGAGTCTGTTTCCTGGTAGCCCTTCTGCCACAGAAAGACCCACCTGCAAGAAACAACTGATAAGCACTATAAACAAGCACACATGGTCGGAATTTCTCCTTTTCCCATATGTCACCTGAAAGGGCCAGTCCAGATAGTTTCACAGCGTTTCCCTACAAAAGGGTCACAGGACAGGCAATCTCCTTTGTGGTTTTTAGGGGGTATTTTTTATTTTCAGAATGGTCTGCAGGGTGTAATTTGCTTTTATGCCCAGCCCCGCTGGGTGAGCGGCAATGACCCCTGGGGACGGTCCCGCTCCTGAGGGGTCCTGTCCTGTCCGCAGCCCCACAGTCCCAGTGAAGTCTGCCCATTAAGCAGTGACACCACCTCCGTGTCACCCTTCGGTGAGCTCCGAGCTCCCGACTCCCCTCAGCCCGCGGCCCCCTGACAGAACCGGGGTCCCGGGGCCCCTGAGGGAGGCGGCGGCCCCCGCCCCTCAGCCCCGCGCCCTGGGGGCTCCCAGCGCGTCCTCCCTCCCGGCGGCCGCTCCGGGACCCCCGCACTGCCCCCGCCCGCTCACCCGATCACGTATGCGAGGATGGCGAGCTGCACCATGCGGTTGATGAGCCCCACTTTGCGGCTGCGGATCAGCACGATGCGGGGGGTGTCGTACTCGAAGAGGAAGCTCTGGAAAGTCCCGCACGACGCCATGGCGGTGGCCGGGAAGGGCGGGCAGGCGGGACCGAGCCCTCACGGGCCGGGCCGCGGCAGCCCCGCGGTGCCACAGCGCCCCGAGCCGCCCGCAGGGCGCTCCCGCAGCCCCGGGGCCGCCACCGGGCTCGCTGTGGGAGGCCAGCGGCTGCCCAAGGCTGTTTGCACAGAATCACCGAATCTATTAGGTTGGAAAAGACCTCTGAGGTCATCCAGTCCAACCGGTGACCCAACACCACCACGTCAACAATAAGTGCCACGTCCAGTCTTTCCCTAAACACCTCCAAGGACGGTGACTCCACCACCTCACTGGGCAGTCTGTTCCAGTGTCTAATCACCCTTACTGTGAAGAAATTCTTCCTGATGTCCAATCTAAACCTCCCCTGCTGCAGTTTAAGACCACGTCCCTCTTGTCCTGTCACTTGTTACGTGGGAGAAGAATCTGACCCCCACCTGGCTACAACCTCCTGTCAGGGAATTTGAGAGAGCGAGAAGGTCCCCCCTGAGCCTCCTTTTCTCCAGGCTGAGCCCCCTCAGCTGCTCCTCATCACTCTCGTGCTCCAGACCCTTCCCCAGCTCCATTGCCCTTCTTTGGACTCCCTCCAGCACCTCAATGTCCTTCCTGAATTGAGGAGCCCAGAACTCAACACAGTTTTGGCAGGAGTAGGGATCCCCTAACACCAACTCGTATCTTGCATCCAGCTCAAAGCAAGGACCAAGCACCTGCCTCCAAAAGAGAGCAGAGCATACTGAAGACCATCACACTCCCATCCACAAGGAGCAAATCCTTTATTTACCCTCTTGCAGAATTAAATTTTGCTATAAAAGCAGGGATCTGCCCCCTAATTCATGGACCTTCCACCTGGTGCTGAGATACCCAACACAGTGCTTATATTAGAAACACCACCATAACCCTCATAAGAACGAGTAATGAATAGAGCTGACAAAGTAGCAGTGGGAATTTCAGGGAGTACAAAACAATTAAAGAGCTTTAGGTAAGCTATATATTGGTAAAATGCTTTATTTTTTATAAAAAGCCAAAACCGAAAGGACCAAAAAAAGCGGGGAAAGGATAAGGAAGAACTTTGATGTAAATTTGAGAAGAGATCAAAATCACAGTCTTGGGTGAATATTCAGTGTAATTATTTTCAAAAGGAGAATTGGTTCATATGCTAGTACAGAAATGCATTAATGCCTACAGTAATATTTTCCCACTCTAGATATGTAAGATGCTGCAATATGAATGTTAACACAATTGATGAAGATATAAATACAGCTGGCATAATCTGCCAGCAATATATCTTCAAATACATGTGGGAAATGGAAACGGCAAACTGCTGGGTTAGCTCAGAGAGAACAAAGCTTTGTTGAAAGGAGTGCAGAACATACCTGTTACAGTCCTTTTCACCCTGGTTCTACAAAAATAGAACATGCCTAAATACAACAAAAATAGAGAATGGAAAAAGTGTTGGAGCACAGATTAATCTACCCTGAGTTCGCTGCTCCTTGGCTGTACTCTGACCTCACACATCATAGCACAGAGCTACTCTCACAAGTTCAGGAGGAGGAGGTGTAGGAAGCAAGGCCTGCTTGAAGGTAAGAACAAACAGTCCAACAGTACAATTCCAATGAGTGTGAATGAAATGCCCAAAAATATTACACAAAGAGGGTAAAAGAACTCTTCATGTAATTCCTGAGTTCAAGCTAAAAAGAACAATAAAAAGAGAAGAGCTAGGCTTTTCAGAAGATGCTTTGTCTGTGTCACTGGAACCATCTAAAATGAGTGTGTTTAATCTGGTCAGACCATGAGGCCTTCAGTGACGAGTTAGGAAACTTGTTCTGTGGCCTCTGTCTAGAACCTCTTGATCCAGGGCTGCAGAAAGCTGGGGAGGGTGGGGCAGAAAAATGCTCAGCACCACATTTCCAAGTGATTCCTCTTTTGGGCTTCCTTCCTTCAGGGTTGTGCTTTGAGGCAACTCTTGGCTTTCTTCAGGGTGCAACCAGACAGCACCAGCTGCTGAAACCAGCGGGAGGTTGTGATGTGCTGCCCTTTTTTCCTTCAGCAAGAGCTGTTCATGGTACTTCTGTGTTGGCTGGCATTTGCCACAACAGCACCACTTTTGGCAGCCTGGTGAAGAGGCCCCTTCTTTCTGGGTTGCCCCAGCTCACATTCTTCATAATCAGGGTTCTTGCTGGGCTGGCTGGTGCAGCAGCTGCCAGCATCACAAAATTTCACAGGGTGGCTCTGCAACAACAATTCCCAACATAAAGGAAACAGCACTTGCTGCTTCATCCAACCACAAGGAGAATTTTCAACAGAGATCCTCACTATTAGGTTTTTTAGTTTGACACAGCACAATAGGGATAGTGATGATAGATCAGCAGATCTGGAGGAGGATTGTCTTTCTGGGTTGCCATCACCCACCCGAGCAAAACCAAATCGACACCTCACGAGTTGTTTGAACACCGACGCACTCCTGCGGGCACACACCCACCACAGGAAAGCAGCAATTTTTAATTGACTCCAGAAAGTACAGCCTCTGGTCACAGGACTTATTACCTTGAAGTGGACAATAGGAATCTAGTTTTAGCTCCTCAGAATCTAATCTGGAAATATGGGTGGGTGGCAGAAACCCAGATCGATTTGGGATGACACCCCCCATTCTCTCTTCTGAATGGAGGGTCCCAGAGGTTAAGTGTCTGTCTTTACCTCAACAATACTGTCTTGAGGGTGCTGCAAATTCACTTTTAGAAGTTTCTTTATCAAGGTAACATGTGGCTTCATCAACAGAGGACACACATCACCTGTGCAGCATTAAAAATGAGCATTGTCAGCTGGCATAAATTACTTGGAGAACTGAAGACAAACACAGCATAGATCTTCCTCCTCCAGCCCTTTCAGCCTTCTGAAATGAAGGTGCTGAGCCCAGCTTGATGAAGGGAATTTGCCTGGCATCTGACCTGGCAATCTAAACTAAATTAACACATAGAGAGAGATTTAAACAAATTAATAATCCAACTAACGTCCAATGAGTGTTTTGCTGTCTCATTTCAAATTGGAATCCAAAGTTGCAGAAAGAAGCTCAATTGCAGGTAAAGCAGATAGAAAACCCCAACAAGGACATGTGGGGAGTTGGCAAACACAAGAGTGCCCATGCTCTGAAGGTTTTAATATCATGTTATCCAGGACCAACTCTGAACTCCTGAGCACACTTCGGCATTCTTTGATCAGTAAAGAGTGACAAGAATCACAAGAGCCTTTCCTACTTTCCTACTTTCCAGCTTACGGATCAATAAGCAGTCACAGAGCATGGAACAAAGAGATCTTTTAAATCTGACAATGGAAAGCTGGCAGTGCAGACAAAAATCATTACATTAAACTGTAAGACATACTAAACCACACAGTGGTATTAATATCCAACCTCTGATAACAACACCCAGATACCTTCTGTCTCAGACATGTTGTGGGGACTCAAAGTGCTTTATTGTTCTTGACTGGTTTACTTGAGTGATCTCTAAGTCCTGTTCTCCTTCATTTAGATAAATAATCTGAATGGGAGTTTGCTTAGCTGAAGAGACAGGAGGTCAGTTCCAAGGGTGGTAGATATTCATAGATCACTCTGTCATTGCTATTCAAAATGTGTTCTATAGTTGGTTGCTTGTTCGAGTACTAAAAGAGGAAAGTGTTTAAGAGGATATATCTGGTGTAAAAGCCATCAGCTCAGCCCTCTGCTTGCTACCATCTCCAGGTCCTCATTCAGATTGTAGAGATCTAAAGAAAAATTCATTTTCCTCCTTCCTTTCTCTTTGGGTTCAGTCCCTGTCACTCTGCTTTGCCATCTTGATGCCAACAAACCATCCGAAAGCAAGCTTTTAAATGATTCCACTCTCTCCTGCACATCCTACTGCAAGCTAAGTTTGGCAGACTCCAAGTGCCTTTAATCAGAGTTCCCAAGATCACGCGATCATTTGCTTCCCGTTCACCACAATCTGATTTGTATGCTCTGAAGGCAGTGAGTCACTCAGAAAAACACACTGGGATGTGTTCTGCTTTCTCCTTGCTTTGCACAGACATGAAGTGCCCATTTTCCTGTGCTGAACGGTTCCACGGTCTGTGGCCGGGACGTGTTTTAGTGGCCAGCTCAGCCTCTGACACCTGCAGGTCAGTTAGGTTTTGTTTGAGAGTTTTCCTAACTCTTTCCAGGATCAGAGGTTTTTCCTAGCCCTCGGGATAGAGGTTATTTTACATCTACTCTTGGTGGCATAGAAGCTCTGTGACAGCTTCATGCTCAGAGCTGACCTTTTTACCTGTGTAAACTAAACACTTTCACCTTATGATTTGAATTGCACATCTGTTGTGCTATAGTGATTTTACCCCAGTAGAAACCAGTATAGCTGAATAGACAGTTCTGTTGTCCATTGCATGAGAGAAACAGTTATTCTGGGAGGCTCTGTTCCCAAGCTTTCCTTATTTCTCTTAGTTCCTGAGGGATTAATAAGGCTAAAATATTATTCAAACTTGCCATTCGTCTCTCACACAGATACAGGCCTGAATGCACAACCTTTTTGAGTAAAGAATGCCAATTTACACTTCTTTTTTTTTTTTTCAGAGCACTACTACTCACTCTTCAGAGAGCCCTGAGGAATGTTTGCACTTACATGGTGGAATTAAATTTTGGGAAGTGAACATTGTTCTTTATTAGCACAGTGAAATCTTCAGAACTCCTCAGAACAGCTGGCCTAAAACATCAAATTAACTAACTTCTTTCACTTAAATACATCAGTTAATGTTATGCTACTTTACTATTACCTGGAAAGCTGTCAGTGGGAGGAATATGTTGCTAAGAATAACACTGAAATACAGGGAGTTAGGTGGCTCAGGGGAGCAAGAAAGACATGGGTGGTTTTCTTAGTTTTAGGTATAAATTGTTCTCTCTTTATTGCACTTGTTTGTGTGGGTCAAGCCTAACCAGAGTCTGTACATAGAGCTGAAATGGGAATTCAGGAGGCTTCTGATGGAAATCTTGCTATAGAATAGTAGTAAGAATTTACACCATTTGGCAGTTGCTGGTTTCTGCCCCATGAATTGGCAGTTTCACTGCTGTCCCCACAGACAGGTGGCTGTTTACACCAGAGCTGCACAGGTAAGAGTGTAAGAATGAGCCATAGGCTTGATCAGGAGTATTTTTATTTTCATCAAGACAGCCATTCAAAGGGGGAAACCCAACCTTCAGAGCAGTCATCCTCGTAAAGGATAGTGCTCCTAAGAAGGGAATATTCTTCCTATCATTGTATTTTGAGCAATGCCTCTGCATCATGGGTCTGTGATGACAAGCAGCACATTAGCTGGATGATGTGCAGCTTCCATGAGGGACTTCTCATGAGTGTCCTCTAAACCAGGCCAATGAATGAGACTTAATTGCAAACCAAAGACACGACTTTTGTGGATGTTACCTGGACATGAAAGTCACTGATGAGTTTCACTGTATAATAGTTCAGACATTAATAATGTAAGTTAATGTTTAAAGAACTAAAAATGAATGAACCTATAATGTGAAACTGTCCATCATTAATCCACTGGGAAGCATCTGGAATCTGATCCAAAACTCTTCTGAAAAAGGTGTTGTGAACACCTGTCCTTCAGCCAACTAATCCAACAACTGTGCCCCGCCTCAGGCAGAAGTGAACAATCCAAACTAGTGGAACCTCCTTGCCAACATGCAATGGCTTTGTTCTGCTCCTGCCATAACTAAGGGGAAGGAAAAGGAGGCCTCTTGTAGAGACCTTTCAAAGGAACTTGGACAATAAAGACAATCATGGGTGTAACCAAAGCCCAACATTGCTACCTCGGTATCTCAACCACATGGCAAAGCTTCCTGGCTCTGACCTTGGTCTTATGTATTGTTCTGGTAGAAAATAAACACTCACCTTTGCTTTTTAGTGATTCCTCCTTCTTTTTTACCTTGCCAATGGAACTTGTGAAGGAACTTTATAGATCAGAACCAAACCTCTCTTCCATTATTTTTGGTGCCTGGTAGTGACCGACTCCTGGCACTTTAGAGAAGGTTAGGAAACAAGACAGAATGTGTCAACTGTGAGATGTAATTAAAAGCAAAATTCCCAGTGTAGCATCCGCAGCAGAGCCCACGCAGTGTGACATTTCAGAATGACTGGCAGTCACTGAAACTTTATAAAAAACCCCTAGGATTTCATTAACTCAGGAAGCTCATGCATATCTTTCCCGGATGCTGTATGAACAATTGCAGCCTTCCTGTTGTTCGACAAAACCTTTTTCAGATCATAACTCTGTCCACAGGAGAAGGGAATGGAAATTGCTTTAAAGTGCTGAAAAACCTCAGCAGAAGGAGCTGTAGGAGGCCTTGTGGGCTCTGGAGGGGACCTGAAACTGGAAAAACTGCTCAGTGTCTGCAGAAAACCCCAAATTAGGAAGAAGATGAGATATATATACGTAGAAACATGTGTATCTTTTATATATGGTGCACATGTGCTTGCATCTTTTAAAAGCAATGAATTAATAAAAGTCCTAAATGACCTAGTTTCTTACACACATATTTAAAAGCCAGTCGAGAAGAGCTAAAATTGATTATCACTTGCTCTCTTAGAGTATAATTTCCATAATTTCAGTTGAAATCAAATATTTCATAAATTTTTTGATGCTTTGGGTGCTACAGACTAGAAATACAACATTTTTGTATTTGTATTGTAGGGTCATGGGGGTACAAAAAAAGATGGCTATGAGGCCCTTCCACCCTACTCTCTAGGTCACAGCAGCATTTTGCCACGGAGTCTTTTTCCTAGAGTTTTCTTATCTCACTGTTTCAGATTGTCAGCACTGAGGTTCTCACCATCTACCTGGAGAGGATGAAGAGACTGTTCTTGGGCCTGAGGTGCAGCCTGCAGCAGAAAGCACAGCCAGCCTGCCTGCCCCGCTGGGAGGAGGAAGGAACCTCAGTGTGATAAATGAACCCACAAAGAACCTCTACACCACAGAGCCCTCCCTCAGCCTTGCAGGAGAAAACCCCATGTTAGGGAACTTTTCTGATTTCAGAGCCTGATTAAGCCTCTCTTACGTCGATGCATTTTCCTTGACATTTGAATTAATGAGCCAAATGTCTCTGGTGAATTCAAAATGAGCCTGAGACACCTAAAAGTGTTTCTATGGCAGCTGCATGATGATACCAACTGGGGACTATGACTTCACAGAGCAGGACAGGTTGGTACAAGTCAATTATTCCGGTATTATAACGAGTGTTTAACAGTATGGCTAAGAAGGAAATAGCTGGTTTACATACTAGAGATCTATTAGTGCTTAGGCAAAGGGATCACCCTAAAATTTCATGACTTTGTCAAAGTAAATCTTTCTTTGACCCAAAAAAATGCAGATATCTCTTTCACTTAGGGAGGTTTTCCATGGATTCCACAGGGCCCCACTGACCTCACTGGTTTTTAAGAGTTGCATTATAATTCAGACATCTTCCTGTTTGAATTCTTGTAAATAAACAAGCTCTTACTCTAGAGTTTTTCACCAGTTAGAGACAGTTTCAACCTGTCAGTGGATTCCTCCTCAAATGTAAGATAGAGAGCTTGACATTTCAGATTGTTGCAGCTTTCTATAGGAGGAAGCTGTAGAAAGAACTACCCAAACCATGGTCCTGCCACACCTCATCAATCCTTACTTAGCCCTTTGCCTGGGTCAACAGTGCTTGTCATTGTTTTGGCTAAGGGTGAAGTAATTTCCTTCACAGTTTTATATGAAATGTCATGTCTGGGCCTGGTGATAGATTGAGAAACCAACAGTTTCTGCCCAGAAGTTTAATTCAACAATGCGAGCAAATTAAACAAGGATATAAAGGTGGGCAGAAAACTGGAATTCTGAATAGGACTGATATTAAATAAAGACTTGCCCGCAGTGGGACAGTGTATTCTGCTGTATCCCAGATCCTGTTGGTTGTGTGAGCCACTCCCTTCCTACTGGTGTGAATTGAACTGAACTGAACTTCATCCTCTCCTGTTAGAATCTGTAAGTGATGACTATACAACTGGCCAGAAGGACAAATAAGTCCATAAAAATATAATGTATCAGCTTCTTTATATCACTCTTGGATAAAATGCACTGCAAGATAAAAGTCAGATGGACATTTTCGAGTAGTTGAAAGAACGTTTGGGTAAGATGCATCAGCTGGACCAAACTCTGCCTTGGTTTCACTTTTGCAACTTTTGACTTTGTCCAAAAGAAGTGAATTGATGTAGCAAGAACAGAATTTCTATTTTCCATCCCAAATGATACAGACAACATGAGGTGACATCCTGACCCTTCAGATGCCACTGGTGAAGCACCAATTAACTGCAACAGGGCTTGATGTCATCCAAAAACTTTCACCCATGCTGCATGGCTGTGTACCTAGACTTTGACATTTTCTGTCACCAGTGGCGGTGTCCTCTCCATGTTGTTTTTCTTTAAAAGAGCTTAGAATACATAGTTAACTTTTCAGAGTGACTATTTTTGTGTCTCTCTCCTTCAAAAACCTTGGCCTAACATTTTCACTTTCTCATGAATTGAATGTGTTAAGGAGGAAGGACAGCTCTGTTTTCAAGCTGACAGGAATGTCATCCAGCTCCTCTAACTCATAAAAGCACTGTCAACTTTGAAAAACTATTGTATGTTCAGAAGGTACTTTCCACACTACATAAAAGTGATATAAAAGGTTTGCTTTGAAAAACAAGCCACAAGCACTTGCACCATGTCAGGTTAACAACAGACTTTTCTGGAGGGTGATAAAATAGGATCTGAAGAACAGATAGAGAGCAGAACAGAAATACAAAGCAACTGCTCAATGCTCCTTTATTTATATCCTCTGTTATAACAGCTTTTCAGCCTTTTCCTTTGGGAGAACAGTGTTTTGGGATAACGATGTTGTTGGAAAGTGGCAGTGGGAACCCAGCTCTGAGCAGCAGTAGGTGGGTATGGAACCTTAGGAAGGCAACTTGAATTTCCTGCAGACTTGATTGTTTGTGTGATTGGGATCAGTGTGCTCAATGTCCTGGCCTGCTGCCCTCCCAGGAGAATGAAACCAACTTCATGAACCTCGGCAGACTTTGTTCAGCAAACACTTATCACCGAGAACAGCCCTAGCTTGGCAGCACAGAGGAAAATTTGCCCTTTAGAGGCAGTCAATTATTGCATATTCCTAAAACATCTTATTGTTCTTGGAATCTGCTGCAAGGGGTGACTTGCCATTTCATCTGACCTTGAACAGGGACTCTACAGAGCAGGCTCTAATCTCAGAAACACTGGTGTAAATCTGAGATTAATCAGTGGAGTTATTTTGGATTTTTCAGACAAGAAACAAAAACAGACAGCATGGCAAGAAACAAAACCACGAGTGTTTTTTAGAGGACGCTTAGTTAACTCTGTCCAAGCAACCCCACCTTGTTAGATAACATCCTATGCCACTCTCCCACCTCAGAGTTCCCACAACCACATCCATCCTCCAAGATGGTCTAACACCAGATCAATGGTCTCGTTTGCTGCCATGGTACCATCTCTCCTCGGTACTATCAGACATTGCCAGTCTGAAGAAACACTGGGACAACTGAGGTTAAATGGATGTAAGCCAGGGGCCCACTGACCTCCTTCTGGGCCTGACTCTACTACCCAACACTTCACACCAGTGCAAAGCAGGTGTAATGTCCTTCTGGACTGGGCAGATGCACACAACAGCCACTTCACAGGGGTGGCAGTGGCCATGCAAGGCACAGGGCAGTGGCAAAGCATGACTGGGGTCATCGATGGCCACAGAGATCTCCAACTTCTTATCTCCCATTGCATGGGACACCATCCTATTTGGTCTTAGACTGGTTTTGCATCAGGTCTTGGGATTAAAAAGGAGTGATGAAGTCACTACTCCTCTCAGCAGAGCCAATACATGGCACATCCTTTGCCTGTGGCCTCTCTCACTCCACAGAGCCACGGACAAGCCAGAGCTGGACACTGTGCTCCAAGCCAACTATTGGCATCTGGCCCAGGGGGTCAAGGCGAGGTGTGAAGCCACCATCTGACACTGTACACACAGGAGCAGGGGCTGCAAAGATGCAGAGCTGTCAAGGTGGAACCTGTAAATCCCAGGCTCAGAGCCTGAAAGACACAAGTTTGGGTCAGAATCCATTCGACTCAGATTAAAAGGACCAGGGGCCTCTCTCTTGCAACAGAAGACTCACATGAAGGCACAAAATACCCTACAAACCAGATCTAGTATTTTTCTTCCAATCCTTCTGTATTTTAGATCACCTACAGGTGTAGTCATGACAAAACATTCAAAACCAAACAAGCTTTTTGGCTGTTGCTATTGTCTTAAATGCTTCAGCTCATAGGAACAAGTTGTGTTCTGCACAAACAGGCTTCATTTTTTGAGCCATCAGTGATCCCTCCTTAGGCTCTAGCTGACCACAGCACAGCTGCAAGTGGGCACCAGAAACAGACCTGGGATGCATTTAGGTATCAAAATAACCACAAAGAAATGAATTTCATTATAACACAGCCAGACCTATGTGTACATACACACAGCACAATGTTTATAATAAAAGAGACAAACAGGAGGGCTCAGATTGCATAAGCAAAGCAGAAGTGTTGTCTTCTCTTCATAAATGCTCTTGTTTTTACATTAACATCCCCCCTCTGTTTGGGATCTGACCTCAGCAGCTCGGCCGGACGCGTTCATCTCTTTCCCATGATGTTCCCATATAAGGTGATCTCTCTGGCCCTGGAGCAGGATTTTCATTTGCTCAGGTTTCGTCCCGCTCTGATTTGCTGATCTCTGTGGTCGAGCTCTCTCACAGCTCTGCTCTGCAGCTTCCACACAGCAGTGGCTGTAAAAGGAGGAGAAAGGCAAGAGGGAGCAATGAGGCAGGTCTGGAGAGCTCTGGGTAGTTCATTTGCAGGCTCTGTTCTCTTTCTGCCACACGTTGCCTCTGCAATGAGCAGCTCCCATAAGCCTTTCCCAAGCAATATAAAACATAAACTCTGTCCAGAGAGCGAGGTGGAACTATAGGGCTGAATAGTTGTAATAACTCTCATGTCATTAGGAAACTTTGCTTCAAAACCTGTATCACTCTCTGCACAAACTAACTTGAGAATGTGGAAAATGACCACAGAATTATAGAACAAATATGCTGGAACACTGGCCCTCAATCTGTAAGACCTGACCCAGATACCACATCCCCAAACTAACATAACTTAAGACAAGTTAAGCATCAAACAAATATCTCAGCTGCTTCCTGTAATATTTACTCAAGGCTGCACTGAGAGTTTATAATCTCTTTTATGTCTGTGAAGATTCTCTTGTGATAAAGAGGTCAAGGCACTGAGCTAAGCCTTGATTTTTTTTTTAAGCAGTAATTCTTAATATTCAGACACCACTGCAGACTGTAAATATGAAGCAGAGGAGAGGCAGCCTGGGGGAGCAAAATGGCTCTTGGGGCTGCTCGTATGAAGAGCACAAAACTGTTGGAGGAAAGAACTGTGACAACCTAAAACTTAAAGGATGACACGGGATCTCTCACACCTTCCACAAGTTGGAAAGTCCCACAAAACTGGGCTCCAATGTATGAGTTTACTCCTGCCTTCAGTCACTTGAGCTTTCCAACAGGTCAACAAGCTGGTTGTTGACCAGTCCACTTTTAGCTCAGCCAGTCCACTTTTAATGATCTCTGGTCATGGAGGTCTCCTTTCCCAGAGTCAGAACAATCAGACTTCATGGGTTTCCATCTCACCATCTTTTTTACTTCTTATCTTGGCATTTTCTAAAGTTTTCGTACATCCTTCCTCTTCTTTATCTGTTGCTTCTTTAACATTAGAGAGATATGAGAAGAGGGGAACAGTCCTTTCAGTGTGGGGACTGAAATAATCTAATAGAGAGGAGGATCTCAGAGCAGCATCATCCCACTTTACCCAGCACAGACCCCTCTCCATTCTCAACACCACAGGCACAATCTCTCCCCTCTGAAGAAAAGCTGTATAATGCTATTTACAGAAACAGTGTTTCTCTAGGATTAAGTGGTGGTGGACCCACAGGCAATACTCCCTATGACCCATTAACTCAGTCTACATGGAGCAGGTTTGGCCCCAGCGCCTCCAGCAGAAATACCATTTTCATTTGCTCTCTCTGTGTCCTACACGCTCAAAATATTCACCAGAGAAAACTGTAATTGATACCAGGAGAGCATGACAAGGGAAAGTAGATCTCTTCTGGGAACTTGTAGGTAAATACGATTCCTAAAGGTCAGTATATGGACTGACAGAACAAAGGAAACATGATCTGGTTTTAAAGTTCAAATCCAGGAGTCAAGAGACCTGGATTATGTTCCTGGCTCTCCTACAGCTTTCATGAACAACCACAAGTCACCCGTCCATCCCCTTTGTGATTGTTTAACCAGTTAAAAGCTTGGACACCAATGCAGTGTCACTGCTCAGCCTTCCCATGAAGAAGGGGATTACATTTGTTTAAATCATTTTATGAAGTCCTTTCTGTTTCTCAGAAGGAAAAAAGAGCTCATCCAAGATAGTCACAGTGCTTAGAATTGCAAAGTATTACAGTTATGCTCCTCACTGAGTCAAATCCTGCAGTGATTTACAACCTGTGCATTTCAATTGGCACCAATTTAACATGACTCACTGCGTATTTTAATCCATCATCTGGGGACTCGCATGGGATTCTGAGACTATCTAAGAACCTAATTGCAACAGCAGAGAGGCTCCAAAATCCACCTATTTCAGGTCTAAGCACAGCTTTTGAAGGATCTGCAAGAAAAATCTTGCAGACTGAGAGATTTCATGAACAAGTTTCACTCTAATATATATCTGTTTTGGATTGTTTGGTGTTTTTGGAGCTGCTGTCCCTGTTTCAGGTTTATGCACTACATATTTATGGGTACTTCGAGGCTGAAAACTGATGTCCAACCCCGAGGACATACATTTGCCGTTTTCCCCAGGGTGAAGCCTGGCGAGGGACCGGCGTTCCCATTCCACACGGATCCTCTGCACACCTTTCCATTTCAAAGGAGTGAAGCAACATTCACCTGACACCCACACCAGCCACGCTCGACGCCCCTTTGTGCTGTCAGAGCCTGCCAGAAACCTTACTTGGGCAACTGCAGCAATCTGTTTGTGCATCTCCTACACACGCCACAACCACCTCCCTCGGGAGGAGCCGCAGAGCCAAGTTTATCCTGCGGAGGGTGAATCTCGGACCTGTTCCTGCCGTTCCTCGCACCTGTGCCGTGACGGAGCCGCACGGGAGCCTTTCCCTGTGCCGTGTCCGCCCCAGAGCCCCCACAGCGACCTCGGCCGCGGCCCCTGCACGTTCGCGGCGGGGAGGAGACCGGACGGGACTGAGCGGGAACGGCTGCCCGGGGCACACCGCGAGGCTACCGGGAGGGTTTCCTCGGGCTGCGGCGCCTGCGAGGGCAGCGAAACACGCGAGGAGCGGGAAGGAACCCGAGACCCGCCGGGAGAGCCCGGAAGGACCTGCCGGGTCCCGCCCCGGTGGGTCCCGCCCCGACACACCCCGGACACGCTCCCACACACACGGCCCGCCCCTCACGGCCTGACCACGCCCCCTCACAACCCAACCACGCCCATCCAGAGCTAGACCACGCCCACACACACTCCGGCCCCGCCCCCCACAGATCAACCCCGTTCCGTCACAGTCTGGCCCCGCCCTCTCATTATCAGACCCCGCCCCTTCCCCGCCCGGCGCTGTCCCGGTTCCCGCCGCTCCGCCGTGGCATCGGAAGTGACGTCAGCGCCGTATCCCGGCAACCATCCCCGCGGTGCCGGGAGGCTCCGCCGGGGCCTCATCGCCGGGCCCGGCCCGGGCCCCCCGCCCCGCCCCCGGGGCCCAGCTCACCGCCCCCACACCCGCCGTGTGTCCTCTGCGGGTGCCCCCCGGGACACCGCCATGGGTGACCAAATGCAGTTCATTGTCGAGAAGCTCAATCAGGAGCCCTTCAGGAAGAACTACAACTTAATCTCGTTCGACTCCCTGGAGTCGGTGCAGCTGCTGCAGCTGCTCAATGATGTTCTGGGCGAGATTGACCCGAAGGTAAGGGGGGCGCTCAGAGCTGCTCGCACCTCTTGCAGTGGGTTTGACACCGAAATGTGCTTTTCTTTGGGTCTGGCTCAGTGTAATCCCGTAACGTGCTTGGTTTTTCCAAACAGCTTATATGGATCTTCCTGGGAATAAATGTGCCTGGCAAGAATCCTTCCTGTCAATACATCTGAGTGTATAAAAATATTTGCAAAGCAGCAGATGTTCCCTGGGGCAGGAACTGGATCCCTGTCCCCAGAGACTGATCACTGGATGTTTTCCCTGTGAAATTCAGGATACAGATGTTGGTTCATACTGAGAACCTTCATGTTCTTAGGGCAAGGTCAGGCTGTGCCCTGCACACACACGTCCACACACCTGGGGCATGGATACCTGTGCCTTGGAGTGCCAGGATGCCCGAATTCCTTCTTGGATGTGTTCAGAGTGTCTGCATAGATGATTCCTGTCAGCAGGGAGAATGGTTATTTAGGATGAATTTACCTGAATACGCATGTTGGAGGAAATTAGAAGAGAACTGAAGTTTGGTGATAAAAGGGATGTTCTGTGCAGAGTATCTCACTATCATTTGATACAGTAATAAAGTCAATTCTTTTAGTGTTGCCAGTTAATTGATACCACTTGGACAAAGAAGTATATAATAATTATAATTATTTATAGTTAACAATATAATTATAATAATTAGAAAATTATTATAAAATAAGTAATGTCATAATTACAATATTTAGTAATATTATGATATAATAATTATTATTACCTATAAGTCATTAATTAAATAATTTCTACAAACTGTTTAGCATGCTGTTGACATTAGAGAGGAGCTGCCAGAACAAACAGCTAAAAGAATGCTGAGTCTTCTTGGAATTCTCAAATACAAACCTCCAGGGAATGTGTCAGACCTGTGAGTATCCTTTTACCTGCAAACACCATGAAAACGTTGTTTGCTGCTCATGTGGTAGTGACCTTTAGTTCAGGTGAGAGCTGTTCCCGTGTCCTTGTGGAGGTTGGGATGGGTTCCCAGGTGCAGTCCTACATGTTGGGATGGAATCCCAGGTGTGGTCTCACAGGTTGGGATGGAATCCCAGGTGTGGTCTCACAGGTTGGGATGGGATCCCAGGTGCGGTCCCGGAGCTGTTGCCGTGTCCCTGTGGATGCGGGATGTGGTGCCAGGTGCGGTGCCACACCTGGGCAGGTGCAGTGGCGGGCGCTGCCGGCAGAGGGCACTGCCCGCCCGGCCCGGCCCGGCCCCGCAGCGCCCGAGGCGGGAGCGACTCACCTGCGCCAGGTGATCCCCAAGCCCCGCGCCCCGCCCACCCTGCCGGCATTCCCCGAGACTGCCGCAGGGAGCCAGGAGTCGTCCCTTCTGGCTTTATCCTTTTAGTGCCTTATGGGGGTTTTATCTGCCTCAAGGGAGCAGAATGGGGATTTGAAATTGCAAACTGCCATCATAGAATCCCAGAACGGTTTGGATTGGGAGGGATCTTAAAAACCATAAAACCATCTAGTCCAGCCCTCTGCCATGGGCAGGAACACCTCCCACTAGACCAGGTTGCTCCAAGCTCCATCCAACCTGGCTTGAACACTTCCAGGGATGGGGCACCCACAGCTTCTCTGGCAACCTTCTCTGAGCGTCCCCACCCTCATATGAAAGGATTTCTTCCCAACATCCCACCTAACCCTACTCTCTGTCAGTGGAAAGCCATTCCCCTTTGTCCTGTCACTCCAGGCCCTTGTAAATGGTCTCTCTCCATCTTTCCTGTCAGCTCCCTCAGATTCTTCTCACCCTGGAGCCTTCTCTCTCCTCCAGGCTGAACAATCCCAATCCTCTCAGCCTCATCATGAGCATTTTCTCTTTTAACAGCATTAAGAAAATTATTAGTCAAGTGGAGAAGGAGCATCAAAACATTACAAATTCTTTGTTCCAAGCCAGCATTCCTTAGTTTGAGATTTTTTGGTGTTTTCTCTGTCATTGTCACACAGAAGTGCTTTTCGCCAGGGGTTGGTCACTGGGAGCAAACCTGTCATTCATCCTCTCTTACACTGGCTTCTGCAGAGGACCAATGAACTCAAGAAAAGAGCTTACCTGGCACGTTTCTTAGTGAAACTGGAAGTGCCAGCAGAGTTTCTCCAGGATGATACTGTGGCTGACATCAACAAACAGGTACCGTTCTTCTTGAGCGCCAACGTTTCACATGAATTGAAGTGCTGGTGGGAGGAGGGATGAAAGAATCTGGGAGTAATGTTGGCATCGAGGATGAGCAAAGATTCATAATAAGAAATAGATGTCTTGACTACTTTCCTTCCAATAACCCTGAATTTGGAAATTAATAGGCAGTATTGAATTAAAAGGCTTTCAGCCCGTTAAGTACTGGGTGCCAAATTGTGTCCAGAGCCATGTTGCCCTAGACAGATTTTTATTTCTTAATTTTTTAACATCTTTTTTTCTTATGAACTATGACATTTATGTTTTTAACTGTAAATTACCACTTCAAAGCAGTCTAGAAAATGTTGTCACCAAAAGCCAATGTCTCCTAATTGTCAATTGATTGTATTTGGTTGTCATGATTGTCAATTGATAGTATCTTATGCCTAATATTTGTATTAGCCTTATTCTGCTTTTACTTCAACCATTTATTTTTTTGTGAATAAGTAAAAGATTTCTCTTTTCTGTGCTGACATTCCTACTTATTATGTTCCCACTTCTTTTGTGAGCATTGAATGTTGATTTTAGATAGTCAGACTGGGTGGGTTTGAATTGTAAAACTTCAAGTGAACCAAAGTTATGGGTTTATATCTGTGTTATCTGAGGTACATATTTACTTAAATTTTTTTTATCCAGTTTTCTGTGGCTTTTGTTTTATGAAACCACAGTGGGTTTTAGTGTTTGTAACAGGTAACTTGATTTGTTAACTGTGCACCAGCAAAGCTGAACAGTCTGACTGAAGCTTGACCAAGCTTTTTGGTTTTTTGTTACCTCTAACAATATTGGATGTATAACTTGGGATAACTCAGCAGAAGTAGTAAAGAGAGAAAGCAATTCAGATTGTATGTTTTTTTCAGTATGTCACAGTCTTAATATGTATAAATATCCACCTCCATAATTTCCATTACATAAGATGTGTTCCTTTTTGGGATTACAGTAATAGAACCATCTTATTAAACTAATACCCTGCTGATTAATTCAAAACAGAAGCTGGGGTAATAGAATGCCTTACTGCAGTTTAACATGACAATGCAAATATTTAGATACTAATGAATTAAAGAATTCAGCCTAAATCATTTAGATGCAGGCTTGCAGTGGTGTCTTTTAAGAGAAATTTCAAATATTGAGGGTTTGGACACTTCATAACATGGTCGGGTTTTATGGCTGTGTAGAATCAAACTCAAATGTACTTTTTAAAATTATTTATACAAGATACTCAGCATACCTGCCACCTTCCCACTGTGTTGGGATTTACAGATTGGATTGGCTGCAGTTTAAAATTTAAAAAATTAGCAACTTCAGGCATTAATTTAGTTGTCCAGTCTTCAGTGAGTTGCTCCCAGATGCCAGGAATCTTTCTTTCCATGTAGGAACCTGGGTGTTCTTTGGTCATTTGAGCGTGTCCCATATTCCAGGTACACGTGGGGGTACCCACAGTGAAAAGTGAGAGCCTTCCCTTTGTTATGATCCATCAAACTGTGCTCTGCCCTTGTTTGAGTCCTGCCATTGGTCTTGAAATTTTGTGTCCATTAAGGAAAAGATTTCCTAAACTCCTCTTCTGACAGAGGTAGAGACACACAAAGGAAAGCTGTTGGACAGCAGAAGTGGTGAAAGCACTTGCTCAGGGACCACCTGGTATTTCATTTTTGTTCAAGGACTTCCACAGTGCCTTAGTGGCATCATGGAAACCAGCTGGGTTTTCACTCCTAACTTTTTCCTCCTTGTCCAGCTTGTACATTCCTTATCACACTTTTATTTACCATTCAATCCAGCTCTTTCTCTGTGGTTTTATCTTCTTCTCAGTAGCCATTTTATTGCTGTTTTTTTTAATTCATTCCAGCTTGTCAGTCCGTGCTTGAAACTGCAACAACCAGACCTGAGCAGAGCACTGTGGATGCTGGTTCCCCAGGGTTTTATAGAATGGAATTGCTGCTTCACTGCTCAGGGCTTTGATGCCTTTGTTTGAACTGGCCTTTGCCGTTGCCATTTTGTGTTCAACTTTCATATCAACTGCTCTTTCCAGGAAGTAAAAAAAATGACTTGATATTCTCTTTTTAGATTTTTCCATCTCATTGAATGGCTGTTTCTGTGGAGATTATCTTCCCTTATACCTCGGCTTGCATTTCTCCGAGTCGAATCTAAATTTATTTCCTCTCCATATTTCTAAACTCTTTCTGTCCCCTGTTATTTCTCTACCCACACAGACTTTCACACTGCCTCTCAGTTTAAGATTCCTGGTGGGCACTG